CTTATATATATATATACATATATATATACATACACATATATATATATATACATATATATATATATATATATATATATATATTTATTTATTTATTTATTTATTTATTTATATATGTATATATATATATATATATATATATATATATATATATATATATATATATATATATGTGTATGTATAAATTATTTATTAGGCAAACCTTTCAGATAAGGCTCAAATGTTACGCGATGTCAAAGTACATGGGTATGCAATTGGTCTTGTATGATTGCTGCATGTGTTCCAGCTTATATAAGCTTCTCCAGTTCACCGAGAGTTATCACCAAGATATATAATAATCACACACTTTCTCTAAAACTGGGTGTGGATTCTATATTCAATTCTATGCTCTCATGTGTAGTTTGCTTTTTTGACAAAGATGCTCACACTAGAGCAATATTTTCTCCCGGTCGCATCTGATAAAAAGCAGCGGAGTGCTTTCCTCAAGCCGTGCTGTAAAGCTGCAGAGCCTCATCCTCAGTGCCACTGATTGATTTGCACCTTCATGGAGTCATCAGTACTCACATTCATATCTCCAGTTGCGCTGGTTGTCCTGCCTTCATTCAACCTTTTCAGCTCACCAAAGAACTATTGTGGAGAAGCATCAACCTCCACAGTCATTAAAACAGCATATATATATATATATATATATATATATATATATATATATATATATATATATATATATAGTTGAAGTGCATCTGCAGACTGCTTCTTGTGGTGCTTTGACAAGCTGTTCTTCTTTAGTGGTGTAACTTTCACCTGGTCTGTCTGTCCACCTAAAGAAGGAACCAGTGATTAGGAAATGTCACATCCATGTATATTAATGTCAATGTTCCCAGACAAAATCTTGTTTCAAGTATAATAATATTATGTTATATATGGATAAGTCAGACCAAGAGTCAAATCACCCAAATTGTTCTGGCACCAAATAACCTTGTAGTACTGTGGAATGCAAGCAACTCTTTGTAAACTGAAGATGCTGCACGATCTCTTTCAGCATATTGACGATCGACTAGAATCCATGTATAAGAATATATGATCGCATCCAGTGTTTTTAGAATATATGTACTATGACCAAGAGAATGAAGAACATGTATAACCCATTGGAGAATTGATAAAGAGGCAAGCTATCTTAGATACGAAGAAAGCTTCAATTCTTTAATGGTCTTTATATATCTGAGTTTGGATATGTTTACTTAACATCAAAGATCAGAATTGTCCATATCAATGAAATCATTCTTTGGAAACAACTCCTTTTGCAGCACCAGAAAGAAAAAAAATGAAAATGACAAAGATCTTCATGATATTGCATGATATAGGGTTCATTAGGATTCTTGACAAAACATCTCAACCCTACCATGCATCCATATGCACCACAGTAGATGGTGGGAAACAAGGGAGGGAGGGTATCTTTGTTGATGAAAGCTACACATGAGTAGCATATGGGCGAGCCTACTTTCCTTTCTTTCCTGGCCAAACAATGAGATCTCCATATCCTCCATTGAAAACTGCGACTCTTGAGAAGTATCTCTATATGAAGGTGACAACAAAAGCGTCACAGAAGTTGAACTCATGCATCAACCGATCGACATGTTATGAACAGTTAATCCTCAGGATTAAGTATTCATGTCGTCCCATTCACATGCTCAACTCCTTTTGATGTTAGTGATGGACGTCGCTGGTGGAACTTTTTCCCCGAGCCACAGAAGACTTGGATGGTGCAGTGATAGAGATGTGATCTTCACATTCCTTCATTCAATTGATGTATATTCTCTTCCATATGTTAGCTGTTGGTGGAAAGATGATCATCCTCGAGTTTTCCAAGCCCCGTCTCTGCTGGCGTCTTCCTTTTTGCTGCTTCGGGGTGGCCATTAAAGCAGCGTTTCGGAACCGAGCAGTCGCTGCAATAAACAATCTGATTCAGAGCGCCGGAGAAGATAGCTACGTGAACAGTAGTAGAAAACACACGCAACAACGCCCATCAATCCGTCCCTATATCTCGAAACTGCCCTCCTCTTCCCGTGGTTGACCAACAGCTGCTGCTTTCCACTTCCGAAGGGCGCATCACATCAGTGGTAGTCTGCCCGTCTCCTTCGCACGCTTTGTTAACCTCAAAGTTGGGGAAGCCGCCCATGTCGGTCGCCGGATCGGATGCGCGACCCTCTCTAAACCGCTGCCTTGAAACTTCGACCGGAGCGGAACACGAGCCCCCCAACCGCGCTTTCCACGGCCGGTCGACGAGGTGATTGGTGGAGAAGAGCATTGTTCGAGTGGACGCCGTTCACCGGATCCTCTCCACGTGTTTCAGGGCCCCACTGCCTCCGGTGAGTGGCCACTACTGTTCTCCCCACCACCATTGTGGTGCCGAAAAGTCCAACCAACCTGTATTCTATCAATGAAGACGTACTTCCACTACCAACATGATGGCCGCACGATGTCATGCAAAGTGAAAGCTCGCACGAATCTCAACGCCGCCGATCAAGGATTCCGCACGAATTTTAAAACATACGTTGCCCATGTCACTAATCGTGGTTAGTGCAGAAGGCTGAGTCGGACGCTACGTTCGCATTCGTGTTAGTGCTCTTACATCTGATGGGGAGAGAGCAATAACGCTATTATGTTTCTCTCTGTTTGCTATCCATTCTTTCACCACTAAGTGTCTGATAAGAGGGGCCAACATATTCATGTCAAATTCCCTTTTCATGAACGAATCAGTGATCTTAATATAACCTACAACACTATTTGCCACCTGTGGCTGTGATTCCATTGACTTTAGCACCACATAAGAAGTTTGCATATGAAGTAGGTTCAAATGTATATATATATATATATATATATATATATATAGTCAGATTCGAAACAAATCTTTATTCGACCGCATGTTGGTATATATAATATATAATAAAAATGGATATGGCGCATTATACATATAATATCGATGTTAGTGATAGTTTCAAGTGGGTACGGGCTCTTGCGGATCCTGTGTCTCGGTCGAGCAACCACATATAAGACTTCCATCATCCATTGGCTTCTCCCAAACGGTCCCTCAGGGGTCTTGATCTCAACGATATGGGATCCGCTTCTGAAGATTAATGAGAGGTTCGTCTTCTTGTGTCTGGCGGGTCGACCGAGACACCCGAGCGTGACAGAGACTTGGGAGGCGCAACGTTTCACATGGTGCGCTGGGTGGGCCCCTTCGAGGTGACACGCGTCAAAAATCACGTGAGAGCCATAAAACGTTGTTCTCTGTGCTTCGCTTTAAACAGCCTTCCTATAGTATTCTAATGTAATCCGGCTCGATGGCAGTCAAGTAAATAACCGGACATAAGAAGCGTAACTTGGTACTTGCGCTCAATGGAATTGTGCTCGAGCTCTGCTACAAATACCCGATCACGCCAATCTCGCTCGCTAGCCTGTTTCCTTCCGACTCTCACGAAGCGCTTCCCAGAACCTCTTCGTCTCGCTCCCTCGATCGCTCTCCGTTTGGAGTAATCTCGAAGGCTGTCGTATCCCGGATTCGAATCCCCTGCTTCCGCTCACCCTCTAGGATCGAAGCAACATCCCCTTCGTTTGCTCTTGAACGCCGGTTGATCGGGCACGACGGAGGGTTTCTAGGGTTTCGACCGCGTGGTTCGTGTCGAGCTCTGGAGGGTTTTGTTGGTGATTTAAGGTCTGGTCTAGGAGGACGAGAGGCGGAGGAGGGAGGGGGTGATGAGGTTGAACGGGGAAATCTCGTACCTACGAAATGAGGAGGAGAATGAGAACGATAGCGTCGCCCTGATATCGCTTCCGCCGCCGCCGCCGCCGACGCTGGAGAAGCTCGTCGTGGGGTATGCTCTGACCTCCAAGAAGGTCAAGAGCTTCTTGCAGCCGAAGCTGGAAGGGTTGGCAAAGTGAGTCGTCCTCTTCAAAAAGAGGGAACCAAAAATATCTTTGGAAACTGATTGTTGATACAAATTTGTGTTTCTTTTCCGGCCGTCCGATGCATATCTTTTGTGTGGAAACAAGTATATTTTGAGTTGTTCTAGGCGACTCTTGATTCGTCGTGGTGGTGTTGCGCTTTTACATTTTCTTTCGTCTTTTCACTTTGAATTTTTGTTGTAATCTCATTCCTCTCAACTTTGCTCCTTCGGATAGATTATTTTTCTTAAATATCATATATATATATATATATATATATATATATATATATATATATATATATATATATATATATATATATATATATATATAACACTTTGGGAACCCAACTTGGCTCTCTTATATGCCATGCTTTGACACTTAATAATCTACTTTGAAAGCAAACTATATATATTATAAATTTCAGTATCAAATGATATTCTCTTTATGTCATCATTATTTTTATTTTTTGTAACGGTCTTATTTTAAGAAGAAGTTTCCTGCTTATTCTTGATATTTATTTTCTTAGTGGAATTTGACTAGATTACCGTTTCTCAGTGATGGCAATCGTATGATTATCTTGATGACTTTGAATTATATGAGATCTCTATTATATCTAAGCTGTATTTGATCAGAGATCTCTATTATATCTAAGATGCATTTGATCTCTATTATGTTATGGTGATTGTTCTAAACAATGTAAGCTGATAACATATCCTTACAGTAAATTTCTTTATATAAGATCAACATAATTCTGCTCTTTTCTGATGTGATAAGGAATGAAACATTTTTTTCCTATGTATTTTTAATTAATTTTCTGTCGTTAGTGATGTTCATGTATATTGCATCAGACATGTTTGGTAAAATTGTTTTCATCTCAGATACCACCTGACGTGTCTAAGTTTGGGTTTCGGAATGTAATTTAACTAGACCTTGTGATGTGTTGTGCAGGAAGAAAGGAATTGTATTTGTTGCCATTGACCAGAGCCAACCACTTGTAGACCAAGGTCCTTTTGACATTGTTCTTCACAAGGTCCATCGGTCATCCCTAATGCTTGGAGTTTTTCTTATGGAACATTAAGGCTAACTTGTCTAACGATGACCATAATGATGCTCAATTTTGGTGGAAAAACCAATGATTTTGCCATGAAAAGTAGAAAGGAAGCCCACTGCTGTTGGTTCTCATCTTAAATTTAGTTTATTGGTGCTTTGCATAAATATGATAGAGAATTTATCAATTCAACTCTTCCTAATGATTTTAAACATGCTGACAGATAAGCTTTTCTTTTTTACTTTGTTTTTTTTCACAGTTGACTGGAAAAGAGTGGCAACAAATTCTGCAGGTTGGTAATTCTAGACCTTCTAGAAGTACCTCATCTTCTGTAAGGTCATTATATTATGCTTGAAATCAGATACTGTGATGGTACGAAACTTCCGCATCATGCAAAATTTTGACCAATTTATAATCTGATCAGTAATATTGACTAGTAAAGAGAGAAATGTATTAAAGTTAAAGGTGTATCTTTATCTGGAATATTTTTGTAACCCGTGGAAGTTGAAGCCTCCACTTCCATGGGCTGAGGATTCTACTTCATCTGATCAGCTATTCTAGCCTCGTATTGTTGCTAGCTGATCCTAGGTATTACTAAAATTAGCTGCTTTAGATTTTGTTTATTTACAAGAAATGGGCCCTTCTGTTGTTAGTTCTGAAAGATCCTTTATAGAGAAGCTTTGTGGTTGTAGTTTTTCTAGGTATCAGATCAGTGCATGAGTCTTCTGCCAATGGGAGTTTTGGGATGTAGCCTTACAGTTGCAGTTTGAGAAATTAAATTTCTTTTTTGCAAAGTTTAGATCTTTTATTTTCTAAATATATTGACTCTAAACCTTTATATGGCAAGCAAACTATTTGAACGTTTTACAAGTTTAATAAGTTTCTCCTGTTGATTGATAAAAGGCTAAACAAGTTTTATTGTGATATTTCTACTGTGATTTCTCAAGTATACATCCATTATTTCTATTTCTTCAAATTCCAGTTGAACACATATGAGACTTTATTTTTGAATTTGCAATACCTGCTGTTTTCTTTGCCTTATTTTCTTTGTTCTTTGAAGGATTATTGGGAAAAACATCCAGAAGTTACTGTCCTTGATCCACCTGCTGCCATACAACATCTGTACAATCGCCAATCAATGCTCCAGGATGTAGCTAATTTGAATTTGTCTGACTGCTATGGTAAATGTTGTCATTGTTTAATTCTAATTCCATTCAACAAATGGGTTCAGTGCCTGGTTAGTGTTGTCTTTTTTTTTTTTTCCTCTCTCTGCTCTATACCAAAGTGAAACTTACTATATATCTTGAGGCACCATTAGGTAGTAATAAGACTGTCTTTATATTCATCTTGTGATTTGTTGTTGTTGGAGATTTGCTTTAGTTACCTCTACCAGATCTGTTGGTGATTATTATAATAGCTTTCCTTACAAATATTTTGGAAATACTTGGCAATTTCTCACCTTAGAGAATGCTCATAAGACTGAAAACAATTTTTCCTAATTTATCTTCTCTATTTCAGAAGAGTCTGATGTCACTAGAATTGCATAATATTCTGATGTAATTTTCATAAGGAAAAATAGGTAAATTGTTGTAAGTTCCAGATTCTTTTTTGTTTGATTATCTACTTGGCTGTCCATTTTGAACCCTCGTCTTCAACTATCAATTGCAGGTAAAGTTGGCACTCCTAGGCAGCTAGTTATCACCAAAGACCCATCATCAATTCCAGATGCAGTTAGCAAGGCTAGGTTAACTCTTCCATTAGGTAAATTCATATGACATCTCTGTCAAAATCTTTCTATGATCCTTGATACATAAGAAGATTGCAACTGATGTTCGTGGAGAGAAATGATAATGTCTAACTCATAATTAACATCACTGGTGAAGATTGATTCTTAGTATTTTTCACCGCCTATTCCATCTAGTTCTAAATTGATGTCCAGAGCAGCATGGATCCACTGTATGGGGGGATTGATTCTGGTGAAATATACTGCTCAAGTTTCAGGTGTTTTACATTAGTTGCATCATGAGTTGAGAATGATCTAACTGCATACTCCATGTAAGCACAAATGAAGAAAAAAAGTTGGTTTTAATTGTTTTTCTGTCTTGGATACTGAGCTGTCTTTCCTCTACTTTACATTTGATTATGTATGATTCTGTACATGTATATTAGGTATTTTAGTTTAGTGTCTGTCACCTAGGCATCTTGAAGCTTGTTTATATTGACTAATCGCCAGCTCTGTCACCAATATCCAAGTGGTCTTTGGTAACAAGGAGACATGTGGAGTGGTAATAACTTATGTTGAACATATTTGACATAGAAATCATCTTACTCCAGAAGGTTTGCAATTAAGGATCTTTTCTTGTGTCATATTTTGGTTGGTAGCATAGGCTGACTTATGATTGTATTCAGGGCTCTCAGCATCAACAATCAAGATGAAAATTTTTGAACCAATTAATTGAAAAATAGTGTCATAGGAACATAGATGCTTAGAGAGCACATGTGAATATGATGATATCTCATAGCTAAAATGGAAATGTGGTACACCGATGTAACATTTGTCAAAATATTAACTTAAGTAAAATTTCTAAAGTGATTTATAACCATCAGATTTGACTAAAAGGATAAGGTAATCTGTGGAACGAATCACACACGTGGACAAATGTTAGAATAAAACATAGATTGCTGTTATCACTAGATTGCTAATTGGAAAATGTCATGTCCAAAGCCTACAAGCAGACACACCATAGCATAATGGTGAAGTTTGATCTCTATCTATTGATGAAAGCGTATCTTATGTTAATTTTTGGTGAAATATGTTCTGGGCTGGATGTAGATTGGAGAAAACGGGAAGTTTCATCAAGGATCAGGGCCCATGTAACACAAGACCACATGACAAGCTCACACTCAGAGGAAGATCCCATGTGCATTCCCAGCCAACGAGGGCAATGTATTTTAGTTTGTATAAAAAAACGCTCTTAGAAGTCCCTGAGCACCCTCTTTGTCGGCCTAGGTTGGCTGACCTCCATACTTCTCGTAACTTCCTATTTTAGGTAAGGCTAGTACATCATATATTACAATTGTGGGGCTACATTGAACTTTTCCCACCATTGAGCTCTATGTAAGGAAATATCCTTAGTTAAATAAAGAGCATTCAAATTTTTATATGGGTAAGGCTAGTACTTTTTGGCTTACCTTCATTAAGTCTACATAATCTGTTGTTATGTCTAGTGCAATAGAAACGTGTTTGATAATGCACTACAGATCTAGTTGGTGATTTACTCATTGAAAATGTTCACAAAATGTTCTTCGTTTGCAGTTGCGAAACCCTTAGTGGTTGATGGAAGTGCAAAGTCACATGAATTATCACTTGCCTATGATGAGTTCTCCTTATCAAAGCTTGATCCTCCCTTGGTTCTCCAAGAGTTTGTTAATCATGGTAATCTGTTCTCGATTGCTGTTGTGTCAGGCAACTTCATGTTATTATACTCTTCATCTTAATTTATTTTATTGTCCTCTTCCAGGCGGTGTTCTCTTTAAGGTCTATATTGTTGGAGAGGCAATAAAGGTTGTTCGTCGATTTTCCCTTCCTGATGTTAGTAAGCGCGAACTCTTGAACAATACTGGTGTCTTTCGGTTCCCCAGGGTTTCTTGTGCTGCAGCATCTGCAGATGATGCAGACCTGGACCCTAGTATTGCTGGTAAGGTCTTTGCAGGATACATGGATTTTGATTTGTTTATGATGACAAAAGGTATGCTGTATTATGTGAAGAGTGAGTGCCTCTTTCTTTCATATTGTTTTTCTGTAGAACTTCCTCCAAGGCCATTGCTTGAGAAGCTCGCTAGGGAGCTCCGTCTTCGATTGGTGAGATGGTTTGTTATATGTGTGCTTTACTCGAATACTTATTTGTAGGTTTGCACTGGTTCTTATCTTGCATTTTTGTTGCCTTTAGGGTCTTCGATTATTCAACATAGATATAATCAGAGAGCACGGAACAAGGGACCGGTTTTATGTCATTGATATCAATTATTTTCCTGGCAAGTGGAGCCTATTATTTATTCAATATTCTCATCCTTTTAATCTCATGAAGTGCAGTTTATATCTCCTTTCCCATTCTTTTCTTTCCATCGTGTGTCAGGTTTGCTTTATTTTTTTGTCAAGATTTTTCTTGTCAAACTTGTAGAGAGATGCCAAGTAATTGAAACATCATTTAACATGAAGAAATGAGTTTGGTTATAAGAACATTCATATAGAAAAGGCTCTTTGCTGTAGTTATCCAAACACACTGTAAGACAATTGGTTGGAAAACTTGATTTCTTAGTGGAAGCAACGTACCTTGGTCAATCCTGGGGTTTTGGCAGAATGGTAGGGAATGATCGGAAAGAGTAGAGGAGACCAATGATAGATGGTGTACTTATGGGAGGACATTTCTATGCGTTGATGAATCAGAACAATAGGCAAAATATCCATTGTACCAAAAATAAAGAGCAAGAACATCAGGTACTTGTTAGGTGTGCAAGTTCCTTAACCGCAGGGTGTATGCATCTGTTTCTTTGGTTGTTTGGTTCCTGTTTAGATTTAACTTTGTAGTACTAATTGAACAGGACAAGAAGGGCATTTCAGGAACAATCTAGTGGGAGGAAATTACAATAGACAATTTTCAATGTATAACATGACATTTTGATACAAGTTGTGATAGCCACAAATGACGCACAATGGAAGTGGATGAATAAGTATTAATGTATGTAGGAAAGATGGGTGTACCACCATTAATTTGGATATATCGAGTAATATATTAATTGAGAAGTCTCACATTGGAAGTTCCTGGGATCAAATCTATTTGACTGTTGATAGGACTTCGTTATTTATCTATTGTAAAAAAAAAAAAAGGAAAACCAAAAGTCCTTAATTTTTTAGGGAAATAATATCATAATTTTGAAGTTTACATATTTGTCAGAATTATGAACTATAAGCAGTATTTAGCAGGAGGATTCTTATGAGCTGGTATATAATTGACTTTACTTCCTGACATTATTTGAATGAACAAACAAAACATCTTCTTAAGTAGAACAGTTGGTAACCTTTGCAGGTTATAGTAAAATGCCAGGCTATGAACACATATTTACCGACTTCCTTCTGAGCGTGGTACAGAGCAAGTTCAAAAGGCTACTAAGTAGCAACTGATCATCTAGCTTGAGGATGCTGCTCGACGGCACGAAGCACTTGCCGGATACCTGAACCGGGGGGAGCCGAGTCCCAACCAGATGCTCAATGTATATAAGCTCGGAGACCCACAATAATCTGGAGCTTTATTCCGAGATGGTGGCATTTATTGTGCAGATAAGTGCTACTGCTTCCCTCTTCTCTGGTTACTGATTCATGTGATAAGCAAGCCTTCTGTGAAAGTCTAATCACACCCCCACCAAAACACCCCTCCTCTTTTATCTTTTGTGGTTCGTTCCTTGTTCATGTTCTAATGGATGATCAATGTAATTCCAGTTTCCGAACAGTGTGCTTTGTGGAGTGAGGAATCAAATCTACAACGTTAGTGGCTAAAACTCTCCTTTTTGTATGATTTTTATAGGAGGTTTAAGAACATTGTTCAACCTGACAAATTTTAATAGCAGATAATGCAGCTTTGACGTGAAATTCTTTCATTTCCTTCGAGATTACATGCTTTTATAATGCACGCCCTTGGTACGCAGTTGCGTTTGGATCTTATACAGCTACATATGTAGTCCCTTCAAATTTATATACATGGCTTGTAATCCTTTGCAGAAGACTGTGATGTGACAGTGGCGAAATAAAAAGAAAGAAAGAAGAAGCTTATTCTAATGACACAAGTTGACGTGACTGTCCGCTCTTCCAATCGAGTAGGACTCGGTCACCTCCATAGATAAAGCCGAAGCATAAAGATCAGTCACTGTGATCCCCCAACCCTCCATCTGTAGACCTCAATTTGTCCTTATTCCTAAATGTATGCAAATACTTATGTTACGTGGGCCCGACACTTCACGTGGGTACGGCCCACCAAATAGTTCTCCATGAATTAGTGGGTTCGTGTCGTGTATGATCTATCTTTCTGTCAATCATATCCTTCTTCCTTGCCCCCACACGCTTTCCACTCCTCCCTTTTCCTTCACATCTTTCCTACGCCTTCACGTGTACCATCTCAATCAGCGTCTGCCTCCACAAAATGGCCTCCTTGTGTCCTCCCCATTCAAGGGGTGGCATACAAAAATTAACACACACCTTTCATTTAATCGCATGAAACGGAGGAGATTACACATATAAGAATCATGTCTTCTGTACAGCGGACAAAGATGACTTGTAAGGAACATAAAGCAATCGGTCTGTCAATAATACTTGGCGGTACCAGATGCAATTGCTTCTTCGTCGTCCATAACCAGTCGAGTGATGCTAAGTATCGAGTGTAATTCCCAAGCCCTAGATTAAAAATTAAAAAAAATATATAATAAAAAAGAGGGGTTGGGAGGAGTTCGTCTTCCCCAGCTAACATGATGCTGAATGGATGAAAGGGTGGAAGAAGTGATGCTTTGCTGGTGCGACCACAAAAGGCTCGGCGCCGCCGCCTTTGGGGCCGTCGGCGGCGGCTCTTATGGTCTTGCAGGAAGGGCACATGGTGAGGGTGGCCGCCGGGAACTGCATGCAGACCGGCGGCGGCGCGAGTTTGAGGGCCTTCAGCTCCTGTAGCTCCTTGTGCAGTCGCCGGTTCTCGTCGGTCAGCGACTCGCAGCACCTCTTCAGAAACTCGCAGTCGACTTCGGTCTGCTTGAGCTTGGTCCTGTCATCACATCAACCGCAGTGCATGCAATTCCATTATGTATAGGTAGTAGATATATACACAACATTTGACATCATAGATATGAAATATACGTATGTATATGCACACACGTCTGAAAGAATTAGAGACAAACCTTGCCCTCCTATTTTGGAACCATACTTCCACTTGTCGTGGCCGCAGATTCAATTGCTTGGCCAAAGCATGCTTCTGTTTCTGTTCATCGAACCAAAAATAATGAGGAGAAAGATAGATGAGAAAGAAAGGTACGCAGAGAAGATTCTTTCGGGTACTACTCACAGGATTGAGGGTACTGTGCTCCTTGAACCTGTCTTCCAACAGGGCCGACTGCTCCTTCGTGAGTCTAAGCTTCTTCCTAGGACTGCCGTCGTCGTTATCGTCGTAGCTACCGCCGCGGGAGTCGGCCCTCGCTGTATCTGCTTCCTCGCCGCCGCCGCCGCTGCCGCCGTCGTCTTTCTCCTTCTTCATCGTCGTCGGAGTGTAGGCAGTCGAAAAGGATGAGACCGTGCTGTGAGGAGACGACGGCCGGGCTTGCCGCCCCTCCTCGCTCCCCTTGTTCGCTTCCCCGTTGTAGACATCATGAGGAAGGCTTAACATCAGTGATGGCTGCTTCTGTGCCATCAAGCTCCTGAGAGGCGAGCAGGGCACTTCCCGCCTGCGACGAGTAGTACCGCTCGACGGCGCCGTGCTCCTTCCCCCGACGCCCAGCCCGAGAGCAAGGCTGGTGTCGCACACATCCATCCCTCGGCTCCTGTCCAATCTCTGCTTTGTTTCTTTTATCTCCTCAACCCGCTACTCCCAGTATCCCCCTGTATCCTCCTCTTCAACAGAGAGAGAGAGAGAGAGAGAGAGAGAGAGAGAAGCTTTGGTGCAGGAAATAGAATACGTGAGGGAAATAAATCGATGAAGGAACCGAGAAGGGAATCAGGAAGAGAATATGGGAGATGGGGATAGAATTATCTGCCACAAGCTAACAGGGTTGACGACGGAGTCGACCTACCTCGCTACTTACCAATGAATAAAGGAGGACCATAGACGAGCTTTCAGAATGGGAAGGTGCGTGGGGAGAGATGACTGCGTGGATTCACATGGGAAAGGGTGCGTGACCTTTGCCTCCCCTGCCACAGCCCACCCACCCCACTCCACATCTACTCGAAGGTCTCGTTAACTCCCTGTGGTACACATACGGGTTGGAGTTGATACACCTCCACCGCTACACTTGGCTTATAAGCTTTGTCCCACTGCAACTTGTACCCCACGTAATGCGTTACGTATTCTTCGTCGTTGAGCTAATCATACCAAGTGTGAGAACTCCTCGTTGGAGTGGTTGCCATGTTACAACACACCGATAGATATGGGGCTCATGTCGCCAGCCCTCTCCCCTCCGCTTGTCTGCTCTTTCTCGGTCCTCTGATGGTGGAGGTGAGACGGACAGAGGAACCACTGATCGAAGCAAGGGTGAACTGCACCATGTCTTGCTCCCAAGGGGAAAAGAAACAGACGTCGCCTATTCAATGCCATGAGATGTCCGCAGTTCTCCTGATCCACGAGACAAACCAAACCTTTTCTCTCAAATGGTTGCGTGAGATGACTTCCAACACTTTTTCTCCCCCACCAACTCCTTGTAACCCATAGAAGATGGTGTTGTGATGATTATCTCGGATAAGCATCGACTCCAAGGACAGTAGCCGATGACATGTTGGAGAATAAGTGTCTCATCTCCCAAATCAAACCGAACGGCACCATAATTAATATTCCAGTGGAGGCATTTCGTCGAACACCATCCCCCCACCCTCGCACCAAGTTGCGTGCTGATGGATAAAGCTTCCATACACCACCGACCAACATGCATCATCGTAAGGCTGTGGCCCCGCCGATCATGTGTCACTTGAGATTCCTCGGGGACAAGAGCAGTGGGGAGGACAAGAATCGCGGAGCTACTTGTGAAGCAGATAGCACACGCCCTACGCAGCGTCCGTTTGTGTGTGCCATCGACTACTACTTGCCATATGCACCTGCAGGCTTCTGTTCCTCGTCCTTGTTCAGTACAACGAATACGATCATGATAGCTTGGAATTTGCTCTAAGCATGTCATCATGGAATATAGAGGTGGATGGAGCGAACAACTAAGTGAAATCAATTCATCCACTTCCTCTCTCCTCTCTCCTCTTAAAGAGAAGAAACAAGTCTACATGCCTGGATAGAAAACAATTTATCCATCCTTTCTCTTCCTCTTTTATTTACCGGAAAGAAGAAGAAGAAGAAGAAAACTTCCTCCTCGTCGATCGATTAATGTCAAAAGTAGTTGCAAAGTCAAATTTGAGGTGCATATCTACCAAAAGGTGGTTCAGTCACATATCATCCAGTAACCATGTCAAAGATCCAAACCCATTGTTGATTAGCCCCATCGATTCATTTCCAATCACCATCACAATATGATATGATCCCCCATATCTTTTGTGGACCACCACCCCTTTTGCCTCACCCAGCTCTTCTGGGTTGCCCTCCTCTTCCCCCACCTCTCTCGTCTCCACCAACTTGCTCAAACTAGTCAACATAGTTATAATCAAATTGCATCCACCCCTGAGAAAACCGACCTGCAAACTCCCGTCTTCCACATCCAAACACATGGCATTGATGCATCATCTCTTTTCACTCGGAGGCATTATTTTATTCCCGACCCTGTTGGTGGTGCAATGGTCCAACATAGCCTATGCTCGTTCGAGGAGGAAGGAGAGGGAGTTTGGGCAGCCGTGACAACTAGTTGGCATTTTATCCCAAAGAATGTGTCCCATGCAAAGCAACTCAAAGCCACCACTACTTGTGCTTTCTCAAGTGGGATCAGTCAGTCACGATAGAAAAAGGTGATGAACCATCAAAGGTGATCAACTAAGGCCCTCCTATCATGTCACTGTGTGTTCCATTCCTACCTGACCTGTGTTGTTCCAATGGTTACCACATGTCCATTTGATGATGTATGGGCACAAGCAAAAAAAAAGAAAAATAACAAGGAAATAAAAATGAAGGACACAAAAGTCCCAGTTGGGTGAAAGCTTTCTCCAAACTGTATGATAGAATTAATTCTTGACATCGTCCATCATAACCATAAATTGGTACCACACCACACCAGGTGAGATAGTAGTCCATGTATGGGGCAGTGCATGAGCTTGTAAGGGAGTTAGTATTCACATCAAAAGTGTTTGGCCCTTCATATTTTCCTTTCAAACCTATAGGGAAATTGAATGAGAAAAAAATGTGACTCAGTCATCCCTGCCTTACCACCATATCATTTGTTTACTTTTGTTGATTCCAATATATGAATCCGACTTTTCTAATAATATGTGACTATTATTTAGACTCATGAAGTTATTTTTAACATTAAGTGCTTGTAAATAAAAATTCATGATCGTGTGGATATAGAATATTTGTCCTAACATGTACTCTAAGCCTATGTGATTTGAGAATTTTGATAGTTGATCTTTGTTCTAGTAATCCTAAAAATACATATAGAAACAAATCAACTATATGCATATCAAATCAAAGTGGTATAACTCCACTGGATAACTCAGTTATGACACATGATGTATAAAATATCACAAAAATAAGTATATTTATATTAAGGTGCATTAAATCATGAACAACATGTCAAATTCTTCATACCAGAGCTTCGTAATTGGTCACAAGCAAAACGTTTCAAGGATCGACTTTGTACGAAAGGATGATCTTGTTGACTGGATCAGATTTGTGGTTGGTGAAGTCAGGATGGATTGGTGGTCAAGCTGACTGAGTGTATCGGTCATTGCAACGACAAAATAATAGTAACAGGTTGACCGCATGTAATTTACCTGTTGTCGGTCAACGTTTGGATCCTGCCGTCCAATAACGACTGTGTGGTGGCATGCACACTTGCTCTCGATCGAAATCGAACTTTGTGTTTATTAATTACATCAACACAATGTATCAATCATGACTGACATTGTGCTGTCTTTTCTCACTCATATGTGTTTATTAATTACATCAAGGCTTTGACCAATTCGTAGTCAAGAGTTTGACCAAACAAAACCTCGCCCGGTTCTGTTCTTGTTCATTTTTATTGTCAGACTTTTTCATGTTAATAAATTTTTTTATTATATATATATGATTTTTCTGAAAAAAAAAACTTTTTTTAGGTTTTTACTAAAAGATGTCCTTTGTTTTCTTATTACTGTTCTTTTTTCCTCTAATATTCTAAATGCTCCTCGTCGTCACTCATTGATTCCACCCCGTTGCCTCTTTGTGACTACCCTGCTTCTGTTGCTATCCCATAAAGTCTTCGTTTATAGCGTCAATGACTCCCTCTATCGTGACTCCTATCACCCCCTTTTTAATAGAACCTCGATCACCCATGAAGCCTTCTTCCTCGACTCACTCATATAACTCGCTTTATATATATATATATATATATATATATATATATATATATAGTGAATTTTATAAAAAAAATTAAAGTTTAAAAATTTCTCATATAATATTCTAATTTTAAAAAATTCATGTACAATGCCTTTTTTCAACTTGACCATTTTATCTCGCGACTATCGCTCTCTGTCTAGCCCCTAATCATGCTTTCGCTTCATTTTGAAAAATGGGACATCTCTTAGTAAAACCAAATATAGGACCACCATCTGATAAAAACTATATATATATATATATATTTACTGGGCCAATCAGACGTGTGTTATATTGGGCCTAAATACCACCTTTTGTTTCGACCTACGAAACATCGTGCGCGCAGAATATGAAATTAGATTCCGCGTGCAGGCGCCGAACCATGGAACATAAGAGACGCCCTCCCATTTGTTAGAAGTGCAGGGCCCACTTGATATAAGAATTGAGAGAGAATGCTGCGGCATTTGGTTGCTCGGATCAGACGCTGGATCCGAACCAGTGAGGTTTAAGGGCTCCAAAGGTCCGTTCGTGCGCAGTTCCGCAAGGGAATGGTGAAGTTGGAGGTAATCCAACCAATCGAGGGTATTCTTGCCTCGTCGGCGTCATGGGCGACACAAGGAGACGCGGTCGAGAACTGCAAGATCGTCAAGGAAGGGGAGGCGGAGGTCCATTAGCTCCCTGGGGCTATGTTGTCTTCAACAAAGCGCAGGTACCCGTCTATGGTTTCTAATGTTCGATGCCCTTACGCCCCTTTGGTTCGTTCAGGCGCTTGGTGTCGCGTGCATCGACAAAAATCGCACCTTTTCTTCTTCTGGTGGTCGTCGTTTATCGTTGCGTATATATATTTCATGGTTATAGATTCTGAGAATAGTCTGCCAAAAGACAATTTTGACTTGTAAAAGAACAAGTCCAATTGAATGCTGCTAATTTCCTGCCACAGAAAAGATGTAGAATTGCAGAAAACATGTCCAGTTGAATGCCATTATATTATTTCAACATCCATTCATTTGCTCTGTAATGTTTGCAAAAGAAAAGATCATTATATTTTCTGTTGGGATCTCAATAACCTCTTTGACTTGATTATGTTCACAACACACATGTCCATTGCTGTCTTAAGGACTTAAATTGCTAACTTCAAGGAAGAGCATGTTGCCCCTTTGAGAAAAAAGACAAAAAAAAGAAGAAGAATCAGATATAATGGTGGTAAAGGACAAACTTTGAGCATCTTGTGCCAATGAAACAAGTGAGGCCAGGATGACAAGACAATGGAGATTGTGAAGTACTTACTTGATCAGTCAGTCTCTAGATGAAACATGGAGATTATGATGATCAGCCACTAGATGAAACACAGTCTTTCTCGAGAATGCATGAAGATTATCTTCTGGAAATGAGTTGCAAGAACTTAAATCATCAATTGTCCCTGAGGTGAGTTAGAACTGGTTAGTGTTTCATTACATATGAGCATATAAGACATATTTGGGCTAGTCAGTTCCAGAGTGATGCTACTCTTCTTCAATTACTGGAGAGGGCTATGTGCATCTTTGTGTTTACCATCAGTTTTGAGTTTTTGCATTTCACTTGTCATGAAACTACAAGCTGTGGCAGCTTATGAATTAACATCTCTGTGAGATGCCCATGGAGTTGATGGGATTTGTCAAGTGATATATTTAGAAAATGGAAAGAGTATCTGTGATTTGTTTAAAGAGAATTACCTCATGGATAATTTCTTTTCAGTGTGATGCTTTAGATTGGTTACCGAATGACATAGCTTGTGCCATTGGATAGAAGTATTATGAGAAACATAAAATTCAATAGTCAGCACGACCCGGTCCACGGATCGATGTCGGAAGTCTTCGGTCGGCTGAGCTAGTCGCTGAGGTCGGTCAAGCCCTCGAAATCGGGTGTTGGCGCCGAAATGTTGATCGGCATCTCTCGGCCCGGACATCGATTGGCGGCTCGTCGTCGGGATGCTGGTTGACGACTCTCAGGTCGGAATGCTCGTGGCTCAAGGGTAGCCACTTTCCTGCAAGGATGGCCATCATTGGGTGATTGCCGATTTTGGCCCCTTCGACGAGCAAGTCAGTTGTGGGTTGATTTGTTTTTTGCCTCCTCCTGGGTCGGATGTCGGCCAGGGGCTTTTATACTACTGTACGAGGGTCAGTCGTACGCGGGTTTGGCGTGA